GAGACATTTTTGGGACACCCTGTATATACAGACAGAATATACAGTATCAGACTCTGTACAGTACCTATCCTGTCTCTTATACACATCTAGATGTGTATAAGAGACAGGCTTCAAATGGCCCGAGGAACCCGCCACTTTCGGATTGCGAGACATTTTTGGGACACCCTGTATATACAGACAGAATATACAGTATCAGACTCTGTACAGTACCTATCCTGTCTCTTATACACATCTAGATGTGTATAAGAGACAGGCTTCAAATGGCCCGAGGAACCCGCCACTTTCGGATTGCGAGACATTTTTGGGACACCCTGTATATACAGACAGAATATACAGTATCAGACTCTGTACAGTACCTATCCTGTCTCTTATACACATCTAGATGTGTATAAGAGACAGGCTTCAAATGGCCCGAGGAACCCGCCACTTTCGGATTGCGAGACATTTTTGGGACACCCTGTATATACAGACAGAATATACAGTATCAGACTCTGTACAGTACCTATCCTGTCTCTTATACACATCTAGATGTGTATAAGAGACAGGCTTCAAATGGCCCGAGGAACCCGCCACTTTCGGATTGCGAGACATTTTTGGGACACCCTGTATATACAGACAGAATATACAGTATCAGACTCTGTACAGTACCTATCCTGTCTCTTATACACATCTAGATGTGTATAAGAGACAGGCTTCAAATGGCCCGAGGAACCCGCCACTTTCGGATTGCGAGACATTTTTGGGACACCCTGTATATACAGACAGAATATACAGTATCAGACTCTGTACAGTACCTATCCTGTCTCTTATACACATCTAGATGTGTATAAGAGACAGGCTTCAAATGGCCCGAGGAACCCGCCACTTTCGGATTGCGAGACATTTTTGGGACACCCTGTATATACAGACAGAATATACAGTATCAGACTCTGTACAGTACCTATCCTGTCTCTTATACACATCTAGATGTGTATAAGAGACAGGCTTCAAATGGCCCGAGGAACCCGCCACTTTCGGATTGCGAGACATTTTTGGGACACCCTGTAGACTGTTGTAAATCGATGTGAAGACAAAAGAAGTGTGAAACAATGCATATGAAGACGATTATTTGGGATTATTTGGATTATTTGATGAGCGAGTTAGCTACTAGAGCAAGCCACTATAGTGACGCGTCGTCCAGAGAGATGACATCCGCGAAAGCCACTATAGTGGCGTGTTGTTCTGAAGGATGACATTCGCGGAAGCCACTATAGTGGCGCGTCGTGCCTAAAAGGTTAAAGTTCATGATTTTGTATTTGGAACGCCGTATCTCAGCACCGAATCATTCATAACGTCGATGTTTTTTTATATTTGGGAGCTTTAACGGGAACTTTGTCTCTTTTTTCAGCAACGAAATTTACTCGACTCCGTCGAACTTGACTATAATTCCGGAACAAAGAAAGCGAATTCCCGGACCGCTGTATATTTCAGCCGAAAGAGTCCGCGACAGGGTGGTGTAATTCCGTTAAAAAAAGACGACTCCGCCTTTTATCTCGACGACAACCGTGCACTAGGAAATGAGATGTTTCGTAAGATAACGAGGCGGTAACCCTGAAACACGAGCCGCGGCCGCGGCCGCCGCCGCCGCCGCGAAGCGATAAGCTGCACCCATTCGAAAACTTTCAAACGACTATAGAGTAATTTATAAATCGCGCGGATGCACCTGACGCGGCCTTCGTGCATCCAGAATGCACGTCGGACGTTTTATCGTTCGCGCGGCGATTGAAAAATAAACCCGGTCTGGCATGTTCCGCGTGTCCTCGCGCAACGTAAAGCACTTACGAGCTTGTTCGCTGGTTCCCATGTGTAGCTTCAACGGTCCCCGCAACACTTTGTTAATATTTTATATGAACCGGCGCGGCGGCGCGCAGCGCGGGCCGGATCCTTCGAAACGCTATGCCGCGCGCGCGCGCGCGCTGTTCGCATGTTTTCCGTGCGCTTGTCTCCGACGCATTCATCCTCATTATTTCACCGGCCTTAGACATCATGCGAGCCGGACACTTAATGCGTTTCTGTCGACCGGTTAATCGGCCGTTCCCGGAATTAACCGGTCGCCGATCGGCCGCGCGCATTGTTGACAGTTCGACGCAGCTCCGTGTGCACGCGGACCAATTACCGTGCCGTTTCCGTGCGTTCCTTCGAGATCGACTTCTTTGCATACAGCTACCGGCGCACCGGAGCCGCTCATTACGGACCATTAGCGGTCGGACCGTGTGTATTCGTGCCGATACATATCGTTCGATCCGGCCCGTCTACGTATTTATGATCGTGTTAATGAGCTAGCGATTGGCAACGCTCCGGGAAGTACAAACAGAAGTGTCCGGATCGAATTGGAAAATTTCGGGGATCGACGAGCGTCGAAAGAATCGCAGTTTTTTTGGACGAATTTAAACCAGACACGGGCGATTTTTCCATGTTTCAAAGTATTTTTTAACCTTCGCTGTCATTTTTAAGTAACAGCAGAATTTAAAGCAAATTATGTCAGTCATTGTACTGCTTGAACTAGTCCCTTTAATACTAAAAAAAAATTCAAGCCGTTTAGATCACTTTGGAAAAAGTTATTGTTCAGTTTTAAAAGGTGATCGAATACTTTTTTGCCAGGGGTTGTATTTTATAATTAAAAAGTGTTATTATATAGAATTATCTTCGTTTGAACTGTGCAGAAATATTTTAAATTATCTATACATAAATTAAATTAAAAATATATAGTATGTAATATAAATATATAATATATAGATTAAATATATATAAATTAAGTCATATATTAGCTGATATATTCAGTCATTTTTATACTGAATACACAAAAGTATCTTCATTATATGTATATCACTGTCTATCCTAACCTATGCACAAAAGTATTTGAATCATTTATCCTAATTTTATTGAAATTGGCATTAATAATAATCGTGACAATAGCATGAACGTGTATTTTTAACTCGAGTTTCTATATTATTATTGCACCGGTCATTAACAATATCGTTCTATTGTACTTCGATTACAACTTCGAAATAAAATTAAAGAAAAAGGAAAACCTAAAATCGTCGGTTCGACGACAAGAAAATTTTCCATATAAATAATTTCCTTTCGCTCGTAGTGCGCGTGCATTCAACTTTTATTGGCAGGGGGTTAGGTGACCGTGAAAGTATCTTAAAATGAAAATAAGATAGCCGCGCAAGGGGGTGGCAAATAATGGTAACTTCGGGGACCACCTGCGTAGTCAATGTCAGCCTCGGAAACATTTTCAAAAATAATTGATACGCTGCGACTGGAAATTAGCGTTACAATGTATACGATGCGAATGGAAATTGCTGATACAGTGTATAATTTGGCTGTCGGGAGAAACATGGTTTCGAAGCACCGTGCTCGACGCGCGACCGCCTCGAAAACGTTCAGACTGCGGCAGGGGAAAAGAACGCGCTTAAAAATGAAAACGAACTCGTGCACGTACGTCTCGCGTACGTATTAAGCTAAAATCAAGTTGAAAAGTTCATTGTAAGAAGTATTTATCGAAATAACATAATTTTTTATATCGACAAAAATTCAACGAATTTCTTCAGTGTGACTATTTAAATTATATATACATATATATTATATAATATATTATATATACATATTATATTATATATTATATATACATATTATATTATATATTATATATACATATATAATATAATGTTAAATATTAAATATTATATATTATAATATATTATATTATATTATATATTATATAATATAATATTAAATATATATATATAAATTAGAAAAGACTATAAAAATTGAACAATTTCAATTCAATCTCGTACCCAATAAGCAAATCCCCATGCAACTATGGATGGACATCTTATTTCAATTCAATTTTGTATCTAATAAGCAAATCCCCATCCAACTATTGACGCAAACTCAAATTCAATTTCCCACAGACAAAAAACTTTACGGATTTTAAATTCTTAAAAATCTAAGCCTGCGATTTACAATGCTAATTTAAACCTCGAATCCAGTTGCCATTATCCCTAATTTTTAAATCGGCTAAAATATTGGGTTGGCAACTAAGTAATGGCCGATTTCAGTTATAGATGTCTCTCACTCCCATTTTTATGATATCCGTAAATGTTATATTATACAATTATTATTATTATTATTATTATGTTATTTTTTATTATCCGTGAATGTTAGCAACTTGTCAAATCGAATGCAGCGGTCAAGGAAAAGCGACCAGAATTGGTCGATCGTAAAGGTGTCATTTTCCAGCAGGACAATGCTAGGCCGCACACGTCTTTGTCCACTCTGCAAAAATTGATGGATATTGGTTGGGAATCGATGTTACACCCGCCATATAGCCCTGATCTCGCGCCATCGGATTACCACTTATTTCGATCCCTGGACAACTCCCTTCGTGATAAAACTTTTAACGATGATGACGCTGTAAAATCTCACTTAACTCAGTTTTTGGCCGAAAAGGATCAGACTTTCTACGAGCGTGGAATTTTCAAGTTGTCGGAGAGATGGCAAAAGGTCATCGAACAAAATGGAAAATACATTACAGATTAAACTTCATTCCAAGTAAAAAAAATGTTTTATTTCATTGAACAAATCGGCAATTACTTAGTTTTGCTAACCCAATAGAATGAATTTCGGACGAATGAATTTATAAAAATTTGTATCCGGTAGCCACATCCGCGTCCATCGAAGCAGAATAAGCTCGCACGGTCGAGTCGACGATTGAGAAACCGAAATGAAACGTCCTGTACACGCCGCTCCCCCCCCCCCCCCCCCCCGGTAATGAATCGTAACGCTGGCGCGATTAAATAAAATTCATGGACGGCGCAAAGTGATTGATTCACCGCGGAATCACCGGGGAGCGAGACATTACCTTAAGAACATGTTTGCACTGTCCGCGACCGTTTTATTTCTTATATCGCAAATTGCTTCTGCATTCCATTGAACGACCGGACATATTTCAGGTACTGCTGCAGGCGGCACTAATGTGGGACGAGGTAGCCGCTGCCCCGGCGAAGAGGAACGACATACTCGCGGGCACGGAATTCTTATCAGTCTTCATAAACGGCGCGATGGCGACGCCGCCACAGCGTCGCAGGAGCTTCAGGCGCGGAGGACACGGCGCGTCTTCGACGTCATCCTCATCCTCATCCTCATCGTCGTCGTCGTCGTCGTCGTCTCTGTCGTCGCCGTCGTCTTCGTCCACGTCATCCTCGTCCTCATCCTCCTCGTCATCGTCGTCGTCCTCGTCTTCGGGGCCAGCATCGCTAGGGGATAGCGCGACAGCGGAGTCGCACCAGCACGAGGCGTCGATCTATCGAATCTCGCGGAACCCCGGCAACAGGCAACTGGTCCCGCGAGGGCGCAACACGAACGGCCGCGAAGAGGTCGTCCGGTTTTACCCGATAAGCCACAAGACGCTGGAGAACCGGCAGCAGAATCTCGCGTCGTTGATCGACGAGCTGAGCACGAACAGCGAGATATCCTCGACGCGGCTCGCGTCGCCCAGCTCGTCGACCACGGTGATGACCTCGATGTCTTCGCAGGACGGCTCGCAGGGCTCGAAGGCGAACGCCACCGGCGTCGGCTCGTCGAGCAAGCTCGTCGGCAGGCAGAAGGTGATCGGAGTGAGCGTGACGTCGACGGTCGAGGCGACGCCGTACAAGGTGCGTGTGGAGCACTACGACAACGACGAGCAGGTCGGCCGGCTGGCGATCGCCGTCAACGGTTCCTCCAGAGAGTCGAACAACGCGACAACCAAACCAACGGCCACCACGAGAACCTTGACGGCAGCTTCCACGACCGGAACGACGCCGACCGTTGCTACAACGGCTACTCCGAGGACGACGTTAACGATGACGCCCAGGTCGTCCGGCTTCGTGACGGAGGATCTCAGCAACATCGTGTCCGAGTCGAACAGGAGCGAGTTCTCGGTGGACGAGGGGTCGCCGAGCACCAGCTGGCACGGCCAGAGTTCGGTGACCCCGCGGCCGTTGAACAGGCACACCCCCGCCGCCGGGGATCACCGCGGGGAGGCCAACGCCGGCTCGCAGAATCCTCCGGAGGATATGATCACGCTGCCGACGGAGGAGAATTACGAGCTGCCGGAAGAGAACTCCGAGCCGAAGGAGTACAACGAGGAGCCGATCGAGGGCCCGTCCGAGCGGGTCCAGGCTCAGGGGCGGAAGGCGGGCAGGCACTTCGACGCTTCTCATTACAACCGGCCGGGCACCAAGGTGTACACCCAATCGCCGAAGGGTTACAAGCCGGCTCGGCCGTACAACGAGCCGGCCAAAGTGTACGGGGAGCCCGAGAAGGTGTACGGGGAGCCGGCCAAGGTGTACAGCGAGCCGGCCAAGGTGTACAGCGAGCCCGCGAAGGTCTACAGCGAGCCGGCGAAGGTGTACAGCGAGCCTGCCAGGGTCTACGGCGAACCGGAGAAGGTGTACTCGGAGCCTTCGAAGGTTTACTCGGAGCCGGCGAAGGTCTATTCCGAGCCCGCCAAGGTCTACTCGCAGCCGGCCAAGGTCTACGGCGAGCCCAGCAAGCTGTACGACTCCGAGGGCCAGCCGTTGAGCCACGGCCGCGGCGGCGAGCCCGACGAACAGAACTACGAGGTCGACGAGTCCGTCAGCGTCAGCAGCAACGGCAACGCTCACGGGCCGCAGCTGATGCTGACGGAGCCCTCGAACGCGTCCGAGGTCGAGGACGGCCACAAGGTCGGCTACGTGGTCGAGGGAAGGAACTACAGGAAGTACAGGGTCGAGGAGCGCACCCCGGATGGCTTCATCGTGGGGGAGTACGGGGTGGTTAGTCACGACGACGGTTCCTTGAGGGGTGTCCGGTACACCGCCGACGGCACCATCAATCCTCGGCTCATCTACGACGCGCTGATGAAGTTCCTGGCTTTATGAGTGAACTATACGGGACCATGGTAGAGGCCGGTGATAGGGAATAACGTGTAATGGACACCAGTCGACGGTCCCTTAGCTTTTTCATCGAAGTTGACGGAACAAACCTAGACGCCGACACGACTGATCCTTTTTTTTCGATCTTTTCTTCCGTTTCTATCGTTCTTTATTTTTCTTTGTTCTATCTTTTACTTTGTCTTTGTTTTTTCTCTTTCTTCGTTGCTCTCTGTCGCTGTCTTTTTCTCTCGTTGTTTCTGTTTCTGTCGTTCTCTCTTTTTCTTTGTTCTATCTTTTACTTTGTCTTTGTTCTTTCTCTTTCTTCGTTGCTCTTTGTCGCTGTCTTTTTCTCTCGTTGTTTCTGTCTCTGTTTCTGTTTCTTTGTCTCTCTTCAACTCAACTGCCTCAGAAATGTAATTTTAAGGACCGACCGCTTAGGAACTAAGAAACCTCTCGCGACTGTCGATCGAACTGATCAGCCGGCACCCGGAAACAGGATGTGACGAGTTGGGGAATAACGTTTTTTAACAAATGGAAAGTTGTTATGGGTTTGCACGCTTCGATTCTGCATCGACCTCGATGAGAATTTGCTGCCCGAGGTGTTTTCTTTGTTTGTGAAATTAAATACCTTCCGGAATCCTCCCGCATCTTTTATTATTAATTTCTCTCGATTATTAATCTCTTGTTATTTTAGATCTCCTCGACGAGATCGGAACGGGGTCCTGCCGAAAAGAAGGTTTACCGTTGGAAAATGATGACTGGAAAATGATTAGTTGATACGTTATATTGAAAATTGGCAGTCATATTTAGCAATTGTTTAAGAACGTACGAAACACGCAGGACATCCTTTATATATATAAAAGGAGTTCTATCTCTGAATCTCTCCGCAACGTTATCAATTTCTACTCGAATTTGTTTTCATGCTTCAGAATTATATTTGATCAGGATATAAATCTGTAAGAAAGTGCAAAAGAACATTCGATGTTTTCAGATGTTAAAATAGACTGACCAGTTGGAAGCAAAAGGGGTTTTGAACGTCGAACAAAAAATATCGTGATTCTTTTCTAATCTTATTTTTGTAACAATGTGTGAACACCTTCGCGTAGGGTCAGTCTAGAAATATTCTAAAAATCTTGAAATTTGAGAATATGTTTCTGCTTTCACTAAAATTACAATTTAAATAACCAATGGTCGTTACTTTTCACGCGCGACACAAAATACTGCCACATATCTCCGTGACGAGTATACTCGTCGAACACAGCTAACCGGTTAATTATGCCGAATTAAGTGGCTCATCCTGTACTTAGGTAATCAATATTAGATGTAAGATTGACGCTCAGATTGGACAACGCAGAGAAATGGACAATTTGGGAAGAGGAGATACGATTATGCGAGTCTCGCGACTCGTCGATTTTATAGTTACCAATCGCTGACAACTATAAAAAACGAGTCCCAAGGCTCGAACAATCGTGTCTCCTCTTCCCAAATTGTCCATTTTTTCGAGGAATCTGCGCGACAATTGGAGAGAACTCGCTTGTACAGTAATATCTCCCTAATTGACGCTCAGATTGCGCAGAAAAATGGACAATTTGGGAAGAGCAGATACGATTACTCGAGTTTCGGGACTCGTCATTTTTACAGTTACCAATCGCTGACAACTATAAAAAACGAATCCCAAGGCTCGAACAATCGTGTCTCCTCTTTCCAAATTGTCCATTTTTTCGAGAAATCTGCGCGACAATTGGAGAGAACTCGCTTGTACAGTAATGTCTCCCTAACTGACGCTCAGATTGTGCACAAAAATGGACAATTTGGGAAGAGCAGATACGATTGTACAAGTCTCGCGACTCGTTGTTTTTGTAGTTACCAATCGCTAACAACTATAAAAAACGAGTCCCAAGGCTCGAACAATCGTGTCTCCTCTTCCCAAATTGTCCATTTTTTCGAGGAATCTGCGCGTCAATTGGAGAGAACTCGCTTGTACAGTAATATCTCCCTAATTGACGCTGAGATTGCGCAGAAAAATGGACAATTTGGGAAGAGGAGATGCGATTGTTCGAGCCTTGCGGTTCGTTTTCATAGTTACAAATTGCCAAGAAATACAAAAACGAGCCGCAAGGCTCAAACAATCGTATCTCCTCTTCCCAAATTGTCTATTTTTTCGCGGAATCTGCGCGTCACTTTGAAAGAACTCGCTTGTACACGGTACGCCTAAGTTCCACGAGATAGGTTGAGCTCGTTAATGCCGGCGCTAATCTTCGGTTAGTCGTCACTCCGTCGTTTCTATGGTCCGGTAAAAGGTCACAACGATCCTCCGCAGGCTTCGCGATCGAGTCTTTCATTCGAGAGGTTGAAATTATAAAGAATACGAAGTTAAGGATTACTCATCGACAACATACGACGAAACTGAATCGTCCGAGGGCGAACTTATCAGAGGATCACGGATCATGATTCTAAACGGAACTGCTACACGATGGTTACCATCCTCGACCATGTAAGTCCGTAGCTCGCAGGATGTTCGGAAGAAGGTTCGGGAAGCTTTTCCTGCGCATCGTGCGCGTACTTCTTTAAAAAAAGCTCATTTCTTCGTGTAATTTCTTGCTGTCCAGTATTCGATTCGAGCTCTGCGACTGGACTCAAAGACCTTATCGATTAAAAAGCACCTGTTTAAAGCGATTTGAACACACGACTCATCGAAAATCTGTCGAAATCAACGATAAATGTTGCTGCAATTCCTATAATTTGCTCCTGGCAGGCGTTATGGCACTTGTGAACTTGTGTAAACTGAGCATTCTCGTTCAGAATTCAGCTTCGTTTAGCATTCCGTGCTCGACGAGCCTCGAATCGCTCGCAGAATACGCTTCGTATCTGACATGCAAGAGATCGGAAAGCAACGATCCGACGCAGAAAAGCTTCCGGCGGAAACCTCGCGAACGATTCTGAGTCGACTGGAGTTGCTCTCGGAGCTCTCGACGAGGATAACGTTGACTCGTCGCTCGGCGTCGACGGATAAAACGTGAACGACTGAACTGTTTCGCCGTTGCCGCGCGCGAAACTGCCTCAACGATTAATTTTAAGAACGGCCCGCTAGGATAATCTAAGGAAGCCGGTGTGCGTGTTTTCCTTTTTTTGGCGTCGAAGTGCGTGTCCGTTCCGTCCCGAGGACGGAAAAAAGGTCGCCGGACTGTGGTCCGATCGCACGAAACCGGGGGAATCCGAACCGATGCCCCATTGCGAAACGCGACGAATGAAAGTTACCCCCTTGGGCATAGCGAAAGTACGAACTTTTCTGTGCTACTCGATGGCCTTTGGGGATCCCGAAGCGTCCGCGTTCCGGGAACACATTTCTTTCTTCTTTTTTTCGCTCGTCTAACGATCCCTCTATCCGCCGAGAACAGGCCCCTCGATCTTTTTTCAGCGCAGCGCCGCGCCGCGCCGCGTTGCGTACTTTTTGTGATTCTGTTAAATCGCGGCCGTATTACTCGTCGATGGACTGCGGAGTTTTCGATGCGAGTTCCGAATCGAACGGTCTCGTTGTCTTCTTCGTATTCTTTGACCCTTCGATCGTCAGAGCGCGATCATCTGTGCCGGGGTCGTTTGCGACTCGCGCCGATATTCCATCAACGTTTGCGGTCCTTCCTTGCTTGTTGTGACCCCGGCATCGTAGACGAAGAGGGTTTTGATTCGATTCGCATTCGCTTTTAGAGCGAATGCCGAAAATCCGCAGTCCATTCTTCAGCATTTCAACGTGCAATTGTTCGCGGTGTTCTGTCGTCCACCATTTTTGACTGTAATTTCTCTCTAATTCGCGCTCAGATCGCGCGGAAATGTGGACAATTCGGGGAGAGGAGACGCGATTATTCGAATCGGTAACTATAACATATTCAATCGGTAACTATAACATATACAATCGATAACTATAACAAAATAATCGTATCTTTTGTTCCCGAATTGTCGTTTCTTGCGCGCGATCTGAGCGCGAATTAGGGAGAAATTATGTTTCGCAATTAATTTCGCTTCATGATGGCCGAGCTTCGTGCGAAAGAAAACTCGATCGTCTTCTTTTCACCAGTGAACTGTTCTTGACGAGTGTGCTCGTCGTGACACGAAATATTGTCTTTTTTTTGCGACGAGTATACTCGTCAAGATAATTAACACTGAAGGTACCGAACAATAAAATTGATTAGTGTGCGTTGCCTGACAAGAGTGAAAAAATTCGATTTATTTAGATCGCGTACGGTTTTTAATATAATAGTTGTTCCAATAATGTAATTTATGCAATCATTTTTTTTGGAAATGTCCTAATTGTTCTTGATGTTCTTTATGTTCTTTAATAAATTGTAAGTAGAAACTGTAAAATTGTAATTATAATTTAGACAAAATTCGAGTAAAATTGAACACATACAGAACAATTAAAGTAACTTGCACACTTCTCGAAGAGATTGCAACTGGTTAAATAACGAGAGGTTATTAAATAATGACTGGTTAAATAATCGTCTCGTAAATAATAATTTAAGAAATTCTCATCCTCGATTTCGATAGAAAATCAAAAATGGTGGATCGCTGTACAAGCGATTGCGCGATGAAGAAGACACGACAAAGTCTTTTGAAAAGTCTCTTAAATACTGACGATGAAGATGTCGATGATGACGGTTATTATTATTATTATTTTTATTATTATTTTTATTATTATTATTATTACTAGTATTAGTATTATTATTATTATTAATATTAATATTGTTATTATAATTGTACGCTTTTCCTCTTCTTATTTAATTGTCTCTCAAAAATTCTGTATCCTCTTTCTCCATCGATTTGTATTTATGCATCGTTAAATGTTACACGAAGTCCTACTATCTGCGAATCGAACTTTGCGTCCCGTAGTTTTCTAATTCGTTCACCGCGCGACATACAAGCAGCTCCTCGCGCGATTCCACGGAAATTCGTTGAACGGTTCACGAAAGCGATTCAACCCTTTCATGGGCAGGATACGAATATTAAAAAAAAAATTTGGAATATTTGCGTAGCGTAATTTTATCGTATAACAGTACAGCTGTTACTCGCTTTCCTGTTATTTCTGATTTTTCATCCCTCAAAATCGGGGGTGGTGGGACCTACGTGCAGATGGCAGCACATTTTGACAGTGGGAATATTTGAGCCGTTTGAAAGTGGCATAAGTCACTTTTTTTTTCTTTTTTTTTTAAATGAAA